CATCATATAGTAATAGTAACAGTAATAGTAACAGTAAGAGTAATAGTAACAGTAATAGTAATAGTAATAGTAACAGCAATAGTAATAGTAATAGTAATAGTAACAGTAATAGTAATAGTAACAGTAACAGTAATAGTAATAATAATAGTAATAGCAGTGAGAAGAAGAAGGCCTCATCTGAGTCGCCTTAGTAGATTCTGTGTTGCAATCGTTGAAGCCTAAATGCGCAAACTGTCAACCCTCAGCCCTAAACCCTAAATCCTGAACAAGAATCAAAGTAGCAATTTCCATGTGCTTTTCTATTCCTCCTTTCTCTTCTATAAAGCCCCTATATAAGCGAGATCCCACTTGACTTTCCATTTGCTTTTGCATTTGACTCTCCGCTATTAGGAAATATCCCTAAACCCAAACACCTACATAATCCACATCTACAACTACATAACCCGGCCCTATGTGACCCCGAAACGCTATACCCTAAACCCTGAACCTAAACCCTGAAGCCTGAAGCCTGCTGAACCCTAAACTCTAACCCCTAAACTCAAAAACTGTGGCGGTCCAGGCCCATTTCTCGCCACCCAACTTCTGATACAGGTTGGCGCTGACGAATCCTCCTAGAAGAGCAGTGACCTTGCATCTTAGGCTTAGGCTTCAGGGTTTAGGGTTTACGATTTGGGGTTTAGGGGTTAGATCTTACCCTCCCCTAAACGCACTTTGGAAGCCCGAAAAGGATCCTATAAAGACTACTGGCCTTTTTTGTAGTTTCTATGTGAGTTTGGAGCAGGGTAGGGTCTCAGAGACTGAAACTTCTCAGTTATCTCACGAGCTATGATACCTGACATTGATTATAGCATAAAGCCATTGAAGACCATGCCGACTTCCATCTATGGTAATCACTCATGGACAACAAAATGACCCAAATATATGACAAGGTACGATGTGTCCGTTCTGAGAGCTCTTGCTATATGGGAGCTGTCCGGAATCTTGCTTGTGAATCCATTCAAGAAGGAACCCCATGATCCCAAGGTTGTCCCCTCCATAGCCCCATAATGATAAACCCTCTTGTAGCCCTTTATCAGTAGGTCCCCCAGCCCCATAGTAACCCTGGGCTGCCGCAAAGCAAATCATGAATCACGAGGCCCCTGCCATGTAAGAGATCACAGCCGCGCTGGCTACCGCTCCGCGCTGGTAGTAGGCCCCGATGCAGCCGACCAGCACGACCATGATCATCATGCTGGGCAGGAGTTGGCTCATCAGCTTTGCTGCTCGCAGTTTGCATACAGAATGGTCATGAACAGCTTGTGTCTATGAGAACATGCGAAAATGAGCCATTTCGGTGGTCCTGCTTCAGCTCTCAGATGCTACTCTATTTCCTCTGCGTGCTTTTTCTGCTACTCGTGCAAATTCATCTTTGCGCGACTGTGAACACAGACGCCTGGAAAACTGAAACTTGCTCTTAAAGGACTCAACGCTATAAAATGTAACCCCGATGGCGGAACAGGGTTCATCTATCCTTGCCTCGTCATTTGTGCGCCAGCACCTATCGCCTGATGACAGAGGGGCAGGGGTCCAGAGGGGTAGGGCTTAGGGTTCCAGATCGAGTCCTGATAGTTCAGCTAGCTGCGGGACCCCAATATAGACCCTATTATACGAACACCGAGGCCGGTACCTCTAATTGCGGGAAACACGATATGATATTTATGACCGATTAATCTATTGCAAGATGGGGGTTTCCGACACCACTACAAGCCCTAGTATGGGGACTGTTACCCCATGCTACCCACAAAGCCCTGACGTGCTGTAATATACTGCGGTTGCAGTATACTGTGGCGCTGCAACATACTGTGACAAGCTGCAAACTACTAACAACACTACTATTTCTATCCGCATGCCATCACTGTTCTGTAGTAGCTCATACGGTAATCCGCCGTAGTTTACTAGAACATTCCCTCCTGCAAACGCCAAATTCCGTTTAGGCGCATGAGAAGGGCATGATCTTCAGAGCAAGCCCCCCAGCAACCATGTCGCGTTCCTAGCAGCCTGTGCCATCAACCTCTTAAACCCTAGACACTAAACCCCAAAGCCTGTACGCTATCAAACCCTGAACCCTACACCCTACACTCCCAAAATTCCCAAAGACCCTCAATCCTGAAATCCCCACAACTTCCGCACTGGGCTCCCCGGCGGAGCAAAAGAAGAGCCTGTGCTTCGGAGCTCGAAAGACATCTGCGTGGAGCAGTTTCCAGCCTGCAGGACCCTAATGTAGTCTCCCTTAGGGGGTTATGTAGGTAGAATATTAGGGTTATACAGGGGTTATGTTGGGATAATGGAAAAGAAAATGGAAACTACTATTTATATAGGGTTTAGGGTTTTAATATTATATCGGGTTATATAGGGGTTATACTGGGTTTAGGGTCTGAGGCTAAATAAGGTTCAGGGATTTAGGTTTTGGGTTGAAGGAGTAAGGTTTAGGATTTGGGGTTTAGGGTCTAAAGTTGGATAGGGTTTAGGGATTAAGGTTTAGGGTTTGGAGGTGAGGGTTGAGAGTTTTGGGCTGGTGGCTTAGCATATTTACGGACTGAGGTTTAGGGTTTAGGGTGGGAAGGAAAAGCACGGATTACTGGGGTTACAATAGGGCTCGTTCTGAGGATTATATCTGGATTGCGTCAGCGCCGGAGGGAACAAGGTTAGCTGCGACACCATACGGGTAGGAGGGTCTTCTTGTAGGGTCTGGAAGAAGAGTTGGTAGTTTCCATTTTCTTTTCCATTATCCCTATATAGCCCCTATAAAATATTGGTAGTTTCCATTTTCTTTTCCATTATCCCTATATAACCCTCATATAATATTGGTACTAGTAGTTTCCATTTGCTTTTCCATTATCCCTATACAACCCCTAAGAGGGGCAGGGGCTACCTGTCAGGGCATCCCTGCCTGTCTCTTCCTCCACTGCGTTGAGCTCTTCATCTGGAATCTGTAGATATCGCGATAGGTCCTTTCATGGACCGCTGTGCAAAGCGCGTGCGGCAGATAGTGCACGTTAGTCAAGCAAAGATGAGAAAATGATCATGCATGACTATTCTGGTCATTCTGATCTCTGATGTTCTTTTCCTTTTCGTGATCCTACTCCTGATGCCACTAGTCTTCGGATTGGTGCGCACGGGTTACCTCTGGGCACCCTCACTGACCGCACCACACGGATGATGATGAGGAGGAATAGCGACCTCTGCTGAAACTGATATGACTTCGGTGCCTCTTGCGGGGTCCTCACATCTCAGGGTTAGATTACAGACCACTGACATAACATAACACCTAACCACGCAAAGCAAGCATATTCATTTCTCCATCCAATCAGGCTGCACCGGCATCTCTAAGAGGGCGACAAGATGAGCAACATCAACACGAAAGAGTTGATGATCGCCAGCCAGTGAATGTCCATGTTCTGGTGCCTCAGCAGATGCCCTGCGATGCTACAGCTTCCGTGTGTGGACTTTAGACCTTGAGCCCGGAACCCTAACGTCTTAAACCCTCTGCCCCATGAAAGACGTGGAACAACTTGGCACAGCGCCCATGCGGCATCGTGGACTTCAGCTGCAGTTCCAGCGCTTGGGAGGGACTGATGTGTGGCCTCGGGAAGTTTAGAATCTAGCAAACCAAGGCTTGAGTACATGGAACCAAGAAAGGGTTCAGGGTATATGCGTTCCTCGGATCTGAGGTTTAGGGGGCTTAGGATTCAAGTTTAGGGTCTAGGGTTTCACGGTTTGGCTTCAGGGTGGTCTAAGTGGTACTTATTCGGGACTGAAGCAGTGGGTGTCCATAGCAGCTCGCCCGTACATAATCCCCAACAATCACCACTGGTAATTCATTATCTCACTCCTGACTTCAACCGTCACGATGATCCATTCGCCCAGTCCCGACTAAGCACCAATAAGCAGCAACCACAAGGCAGCCTGGACGCCATAAGATATTGGAGTTTCTCAAAGTGGGGTTCCCTTCACGAACCGATTTTCGGGGGTCATTTGGATAGGCGTACCTGCGGTTTTATGCAAATCGCGCATATTGACGGTGTGGAAGGCTAAGTTTCGAGCAATGGCGTCCACTGCACCGAGTAGGAGAATTGGATCACCTACAGCCCGGGCAGGGTATTGGACTCTGATCCAGGCATCTGCACCCTGAATTAATTCACTGTAGTAGTAGTCGTCGTCGTGGTAGGAGTAATGGCAGTAGGAGTGGTACTAGCAGCAGCAATAAAAGAAAATGAAAGCTGTCTGACTGTGCAACACAATGATTGTATAATTCCCGCATGATGAAAATGAAGCTGCGTCATACTTGTGATGTACTACCCTCCCCACACTAACATGAAAGCCCAAAATGCTTCCTGTCAAAGCCTCCGCTTCTTTGAATGGGTTGTCCATACTTTTTTGAGGAATGGTAGGCTGAACTGAGTTTTGCACCATACCCTCCTTCCACTCCGTGATGTCCACGAGGTGCTCTAGATTCAGCCTGGCAAGCGTCAAAACCTACTAAGGCTATGGTTAGTAGGGCAGGGGACTAGATGCCCATAATGCTCCCTATAATGGTCCCTATACACCGTATGCCTTTATGCAACATCAACACAGACCACTAGGTAGCAAAACTGCAAAGGTCACCCTCCTACTACTTCCACCTTGTCAGTAGGTAATTACGGCAGGTGCGGATTCTTGTACATTCGTATAGAAATCCCACTCCGCATAAAAGCCCCATGATATGCAGCATAATGACGGCAATCCCCCCGACAATCCATGGTGTAACCCTATAGGGCTACAACTTCTCGAGGTCCGTGCTCCCGTGTCACATTCGCGGAGACCACCTGGATTTCAGCATTTCGATTTCACAAAGCTGCCAATGTCATTTTGGGGGATGCTTTCGAGCATAGAGAAAACTGAGAAATCCCCACATGCATTGCAATCCGCTGGCTCGGCTCAGCGGCACTGACACCTACAAAACTAACTTGGCCGCCTCCTTCTCGTTGTAGCCGATGATGAAGTCTAGGTAGTTGACCAGAAAGTACCTCTAGTGCCCGCGAGTCTGAATATCCATCCCTGGCCGGCCACACACGAGCTCGGACCTATCGGTAACCTGCTCATCCTTCTCGTTCCCCATTGTCGACACTACGCCGAAGGGTCTGTCCTTGGAAGCGACGTTGGCGCCGTTGTACTTTAGAGCTACCCAAGACAAATGCGCAAACCTCCGACTGGCATGATCGCCAGCCCATTCTGCTTCCAGATGCCATAGCATATCTGCCTATGCGTTCGTACCAGCTGCTCTAGTCCCGTTTTCCTGTTCAGCCTTCCAGGAACGTGGCCGAATGCTGAGTCCGAGACAATCGGCAGCTCGCCAACAAACAGCTCGAACATGTAGTTCTGATCTATGGCTTCCTGGCATTCTACCAGCCGTTACGAAATCCCCATGTACCCTTTATACTAAACATGCAGTCTCACAACAAAGACAGCATAGTTCCCACATCGACGTTACATTATCCCGCAGCTGATCAACCAAAGCACAATCCGCATGTAAGCTATGTGAACTTCCCACATATCCCTTAGCTTTAGCTGCACACGCCCATCCTGACATAGTTTCTACGGCCAATGTATCCTTCATCGTTCTTGCATCATTACAGAAAACACCTAGTGCAATCCCCATGTACTCCTCATGTCACAAAGGCGAAACCTGCCAATGTCGGCATGCCGTAACACAGCCGGCAGGGCTTTGAGCATACGGATGTCCGATTCAGTCATTCGCCTCCGCGCTTTTCCACTAAAGGTCCCTCTTTCGGGTTTAGGGGAGGTCCCTAAATCCCACACTCTAAACTCTAAATATCCTCGACCCAAGGATCCTGACAGCTTTGAGGGTTGTAGAACCAACCACCTGTCTCTGTCGAAAAATGAGGACTGCGGCTACTCCCAATGGGGTAAAAAGAATACACTAGCTACCTCACTCAAAATGCGGGAGCTTCCTCTCATCTCATCTTGAGGATCCCTGTCCTGGGTTCACGTGACATCAACCCGGAGCCGGAGACTCTAAGCCCCAAACCTTGCACCCAAGGCCTAACCCTTCATTAAGCCCGAACCTTAACCCTTAATCCTTAGCCCTTAACCCCAAGCCCTGAGCCCTAGACCCAAAACCCTAAACCCTGGGCACTGCCGTTTGGGATTCCCTAGAGCCAGAGCTTTCGGAGGCCTTGAGCAGATCACTGTCCTTGGGACTTGCCGCTTCATGTGCATTGGGTACAACGAATTCACCTCAGCAGTTTGTCTTCGGGTGCTCGGGTTTGGGGGTGGAGGTTTAGGGTTCAAAGTGAAGAGCTTCGAGCTTTCTTTGGGATTAAGAGAGTTTAGGGTGAGCAGTTATGGTCTAGGGTTGAGGGTTCAGGATTGAGTGGTCAGGTAGCAGATGCAGCAATCCTTCGCAAGATCAGAACATGCAATGCAGGGACCCTTATGCGAGTTCCAACCTCTGTACCCCGTGTATAGTTCTCGGAGATCATGCTAAGGCTATGCCGAAAACCGTTGCTGCACTCCAAATGGGTACAACAGTTTAACTGATGCTCACCTTGATATGGGGGTTTCCCAAAATTAGGGGTACCTTATTTGTGGTTTTCTATGATAAGGAGTAAATTATTTTGGGGTCTCTATTGGATTCCCCTATTTATGGGAACTACCATATGTACTCGAGGTGAAGGAAAATGATGTGCATGTAATGCCTCGACGCAATCATGCACGAAAGCCCTCGCAGGAATGTAGCGTACTTCAACTGAATAGAGGTCCCAAAGAGCCCGAAATCTACTACACTCACTGGCCGTTAGTAGAGAATCGAGGAATGGATCCTCATAGTGGTACTTATATACCCCAAAATACTGTAGTAGTTTGCATTTTCTTTTCCATTACCTCATTCCCTATTATAAACAAGCAAGTTACCATGTCTTTCTTGTGTGCTTTTCCCTTTGCTTCTCTGAACCTTTAACCCTGAACCCTAAACCCTAAACCAAGTAGTGTTACCATGTTGCCTAAACTTTGCTTCCTGCTAAAGGCTTGGTGCCCTGCTAATCGATCTCCTCGCAGGACCTGGCGTCACTGTGTCTCAATACAGGGCTACCTTTGAAGGGGGTATAGGGATACATCGCGGTTCGGGTTTGCGGATCAAGCATGAAGGTTTGACAATAAAACAGTTGCACTAGGTACCGCCGTAAGGACTGCAGATTTTTGAGAGATGGCCACATCTTGTGCGCAGCACATGCCTCGCGCCAAGTGTAGCGGCTACAAGAGGATGGTGGAGGTTGTAGAAGGTTAATATGTGACTTCAGGGGATGATATGTGGGTGTAGGGATTTATAGGGAATGTGTGAGGATCTTATTGAGCTTGTAAAGAGACAGCACCGGGGTAAGGGTTCTAATTTGCATGTCCCTCTGCGTGGACCTCCTACACTTAAGTGCCAAGCTGCGCACCCCTAGACTCTGGAGTACTTATAGGGATAATATAGGGGTAACATAATAACATAGGGGGAATATAGGGGATAATGGACAAGAAAATGGAAACTACTATTTATTATGTACCCTCCACATACCCCCAGGCATCGACCATGTGGCCAAAATCAATGAAGCGCTATCAAGCCCCATGAAACCTTAAACTCCAAACCCTGCATCCCTAAGTTCCTTGTAGGGCCTTGATAACTTGATACCCTAAGCCCTGCAACCCCCATTTCGTACTGCGGTGGTGACCCTGCCTGGCCAAGGGTCATGAAGTGCGGCATCACAATTTTGGGCTTGCAGAAGGGGAAGTCATAGTACTCGTACCTGCCACGGTTGACTGTCATGAGTTTGGAGCTTACTTACTTGAAGAGTAAGGGGGACTTAGCAAGTATACTTAAAAGCCCTGCAAGCCTATAAGCCATACACTAACCCAAGTTCTCCCCAGTAATAACCTTCTGGGACCTATAATACTCCCCCAGATAATCCCCTATGTAACCCCCTTTAAGAAGTTTAGACTGTAGCTCACATGAACTACAGCAACATTTTCCGTGTAGCCCCCTTGATATCCGGTAAGTGACACCCTGCGCAATAGAGCGAGCATAAGAGACAGTGGAGATGATATTAGGACTCCCATGATGCCACTGAACCTCACCCTTTGCCCAGACACATTGTCGGACAGTATGGGGGGGGTGCCAAACCATGCGATCGGGGTTCTTGTGGGATCAGGAAACGTGAGGACAATAGTATTCTTGGCAATGCCGAAGCCTAAACCCTAATCCCCAACAAACCAAAAAAACCCTTAAACCCCTCGCCCAACACCCTGAACCCCAAACCATAAACCCCCCGAACCCCAACAAAACCCTCAACTCCAAACCCTCAAACCTAAACCCCCAAACCAATTTTTTGGGACCAACTGCGCTGGCGTACGTCTCCGTAGGGTTGGAGTACGGCCAGGCTTTGTTCATGCCTGGAAGAGTCCAGAAGGATTAGGATTGGCGCTTTGGGGTTTAGGGCTTATGGATCAGGATTCGAGGTTGAGGGTTTAGTTCTGAGCGCGTGGTTGTAACTCATTCTGGTAAGTATAAGGCCTGTCGTGCTGCTTGCGCTACCTGAACCTGACCCTACACATGGTACTGACCATGCTCATGCGAGCAAGTGGATTACAGCTACGAGTGCTACTGAGGTTGATGCTATAAATCCTCACCCTATGTACCCTAAACCTTCGGCATTATGGCATTGCAATATAACAAGGTCATGCAGGATTCCTAGCATCCACAAGAATATCAAGAAAAATGATGCACTACACATACCCTTACGCAAGCACTCAGCGCTGATGCTGGGCCCCGGACTAACTTGAATCTCTGCATCATCTTCGAAAGCAGCATCAACCAACGCCTCGGTAAGCCAAGTGGATCCTGTGTTCCAGCCCCCATGTTAACCCTGCGTCTGGTTTTAAAGTGGAATACCATACAAAACTATGATTCCCAAGAATGGAGAATCAAGTGGGAAAGAAAAAGGATAATTATGTGGAAGCTGTGTTTGATGTAATTTTCATATTCCTGATTGGGTTTTACTGACATGAAAATTCAAAATCAGTTTTGACTTTGATCCATACATGCCAACCATACCATCCCTGTGGCGTGTCGTAACTTACTTTTGGGTTAACAAGGAATGGAGGAAGGGATCATTATAGTAGTCCTTATATAGCCCATTATAGTAATTTCAATGTTCTTTTCTATTCCTACCCTAAACCCTAAACCCTATTTAACCCATGATAGCCCGCTATGGTAGTTTGCATCTTGTTATCAATTCCTACCCTTAGCCCTAAACCCTAAACCCTAAACCCTATATAACCCATTATAGCCCATCATGGTAGTTTCCATTTTCTTTTCCATTCCTTCATTGCCAGTTAACAAAAGGCCAGGTAAGGCCCAGGCCAGCCAAGCCAAAAGAGTGAAGCAACTCCTCCGCATGCTGGGCCTCCAGCAGTCGATGGTTTCAGGTTGGGTACCTTTACAGGGAATATGTGGGGGGTTATGTAGGGTTTCGGGTTTAGGGATTTGGGGTAATTCTATACCCTAGATCGTGTAATCCCAACGTGGGGACCCGCGAAGGCTGTGACAATAGGTCTTGGGAAACCCGCAGCAGGAGTGACGGTAGCAATTAACGGTAGAAGCAGCAGCAGCAGCAGCAGCACCAAGGAGGTGGCGGTGGCGGCGGCAGCGGTTGCGGGTTTCGGGTTTCAGTGGCGGCGGCGGCGGCGGCGGCGGCGGCAGCGGCGGCGGCCGCGGCGTTAGCGGGTTTCGGTGGCAGTGGCGGTGGCGGCGGTGGTGGTTGCGGGTTTCGGTGGCGGTGGCGGCGGTGACAAGAGCCGTCCAAACTATACCATCCTTGCAAAATTCACAACAGCAGTTACGGCACCGAAAGCTCCGAACATGGATGCGGAGCTAGCAAGTTGGGGCTGAGAGCTGGACAAAGAGCGGCAAGTTCCGCTTAGGTTCCCATGCCCCCTGCTTTCCCTTCCATCCACAGGCGGCGTTGAACAAGAATATGCAAGGTCACGTGCACATGGCAACATGCGATATCGAAGACGTGCAGGGTGACCGTGCTTTTTGGAACATTCTGCGCAAACGATGACAGACCCCTGCTCATTTAAGCACAGGTCCAAAGGGCAGCTTCGACAACTCAAAGCTTTCTCCGTAAAGTACAGTTTTGCCAAAGAGCTTCGGAAACAGAAACTTCTGGCACCGTAGTGCCCTGGTCCGCTCAAGATTCTTGAAGCAGGCCAAGGACGCCGCTCTTCCAAATCACGAACGGCAGCATTACCAACCTCAGACTGTACTTGCCTGCCCTGCTATGAAGTCTCACATCCAGAACTGGGCTTGCAAA